TTTGAGTCTTCCTCCGAGAGTCTTCCCTCGAGAAGCCGGGGCGCTGGCAGCCCTTGTCTTTAGATAATCCCGTGCATGGAAATGCCTTCTGCGCTTCTGCTCCGCATCCCCCAGCGAGTCATTACAGGCCTGGGCTTGCAGCCGCCGCTGAGCGATGGGTGCCCTCGGGGGAGCCTTGGGCTGAGGGGAACAAGCACTCGATGGTGTCACCCCCATCCTGGCTGCAAATGGGGTGTCATGGCTCTGGCGTGTTTGCAGGGATGATCGACAAACGCAGCGTGGCAATAGCAGGGGAAAAAGGGCTGGGCTGGTTTAGCGGTGTTTGAGCAATCCCATCTGTTGTCTGAGCTGCAGCAGACACTGGGGAAGGGAATATTCGCGTTTGCACTTGGTGCCAAGGCTCTTCCCTGAGCTGCAAGGGCTGCGAGCGATGAGTCCCAGTGCTTTTACAGCTGTTCGCTCCTCTGTTTGGGCTGTGTTCCTCACGAAGCTGAGCAACTGTTGTTTCCAGCATGACATTACCAGTTCAACCAACCCTTGGGATTATCCAGCTGCTCGTCTGCGCCGTTCCCGGATGGCTGACGGCTGAGCTGCAGGCAGCCTCCTCTGCGCCTTGCACCGTGCTCGCTCCCGGCTGGAGCTGACCCAAAGCGCCCGTAGCCTCTTGGGCCACCCCTCGATGTGAAAAGTCCATTTCTGCGAGGTGTCGAGTGCCCCGCTCCCAGGGCTGGGTGAGGACCAGCACTGTAGAGGGGAGATGCTGGCCGGCACAGGAGGACGCGCTCCCCCAGGCTGCGCATGCCTTGTCTGCTCCCCGGTGAGCGTAATTAAGGGTTTCTCCGCGGCTGCCGGGGTCTTGTTCTTGGCTCTGGCTCAGGCGAGGGTGGATCTGAATTGTGCAAGTCACTAGTGGCTTGGGTGGGAGAAAAGGCAGGATGCACCCCTGGGCTCGCAGGGGTGAGCCCCCTCCCCCAAGGTCAGCTTTTGTTTGGTTTTATTTTATGTTTTTTAAGTGGTGAGCTAACAGCAGGAGCTGGACTCAAAGGTGTGCCGGTGCCTGAGTGCAGCGTGCAGTGTGCGGGAGAGCATCCCGTGCCATCCTGGCTAGGCAGTGGTGGCATTTTCTGTGCTAGCCCCCATCCCGGAGTGCAATGCCGCTCGGATGAAAGCTGGTGTGGAAGTGGCAACGTGGAAACCTTTCCTGGGGGTTTGGTGGTACAGCAGCACAGCAGAAGGGCCGGTGCTGGCTCTGCGCCTGGCCCCCAGCCTGGCGTTGGGATGTCACCTGGCACTTTCTCCGTGGCGCAGGTCAGCACTGGGGCAGTCACTGCCCTGGGCGCGGAGGCGGCTCAGCTGGGAGCTGCCACCGTGTCCCCAGGGCAAGCCAGGACCGGGCACTGCCCGCACCCTGCGGCTGCCGACCCTGCCGGGACGGGAGGTTTTACCCCGTGCTGCCGGGGCTAGTGCGGGGGTGCGGGGGCATTGCCGGCCCCGCCAGAGTCCCTGCTGCCACCTCGCTGCTCCCCGTGACCCACGGGACGGGGACACGTGCACCCAGAGCTTGCAGAGCCTTTAAGCTCCTCCTGTGATGGGTGCAACAGAAGGGCAAAGGATTACGCCTGTGCCTGGGTTTGGATGAATGAATAACAGCATTCAGGGTCCTTTTTGCATGATAGCAGAGCAAGAACTATTTTAAGGCAGGAATAAAGTTGATCAGGCAACAGCTAAATGAGTCATCACAGCCTAATGCTGCAAACAGGGGGCACAAGGCGAAGAGAAGCCCAGCCTGCAGCCCACCGTGCCCGAGCGAGCCCATGCTCACGCCTGGGCTGGCAGTCGGACACCAGCTTTCTTCTTGCCTTTTTGGGAAATCCAAAGGATTTTGCTTTTCCTGGCATCTTCTCAGACCCTCATTGACATCACAGAAACAAGGGCCAGAAATATGCCGAGCCCCTTCCCCACGCGGGCAGCGGGGGTCCCACTGCCCTCCCCACTGCTCACCTGAAGATGCTGATGTGGACAAGCAGGAATTGGGGAGGATCCTGCAAATACAACTACTACTTTATCTTTTAAATCAACTCCTGCTGATGTCCCGAGTTGCTTTTCTCTGGATTTTAACTCATGCCGGTGTAGTGGTTTGCATTTCTCTGGATTAGCAGCAGGACTTTAAAAAATGGGTTTAAAAGCCTGCATTTGCAGTGTTTCACTGCTGTCAGCTCTGCCCACAGCGGTGTTTGCCCGAGGGCATGTGGAGTGGCCCTGGTCTGTGCCGGGGCACTGGCTGCACCTCGGTTTTGGGGAACGCACCCTTCGCAGCAGCCTCCTGCAAGCCCCGCAGCCTCCAGTCATATTACGGGGGCTGGGAAGGTCCCAGCAGCGCAATCCCTCAGGGTTGTTTGAAGCCAGATGTGCAGCAGAGCCTTTTTGGCATATAAATATCTTGTCCCCGTCTCTAATTTAGTTCATCTTCTGACCAGAAGCTTTCAGTTACTTGGCGCGTTGCTGCGCTCAGTCACGCTATCCAGCGTGGGCTGCGATTTCAATGAGGTGTCCCAGACCCTCGTGTCGCGTTGACTAATGCCCTCCCCAGAACAGAGACGTTTGCATCAGGAGGAACCGGTCCCTCCTCGGCGGGGCAGAGGGATCGCAGGGGGATTGCCAACGCCTGGCACGTGGTGGGCTGGGGGCTTCGGCTCCGGTAAATGGGATTTCCCAGCCTTCGTGGTTACAGAGAAGACCTTAAATATACACTTAAAGGTCAAACTCTGGGAGACAAAGACCCCCCAACCACAGGCTTTTCTTGTGACTTTATAGATCTTAAGATTTTTAAATAGATCTGGGAATTTCCAAGCCCATTTCCTGATTTTAGGGGCTGATTTTACTGTTTGAGGTTTATGGGCTAGCATGGCATTGCTGAGGTAATGGTTCTCTGCAGAAGCTCTCATCTTCATATTTGGATAACGTGTGTGTTTGCAGTGTATCCTATGTAACCTGTTTTCCCCTTGATGTCCAGGCTCTTTCCCCATCCACTTGGAGTAGCCAGATCTTTTAAGGAGTGTGTGTACCCTGTGAATGTGTTATAACTCAATTTAATATGTGACTAAACCAGCCATGCAATATTGCAATTAAAGTATAATACCAGAGGTGCGAACAATGCCGGCTTTTTGGTATGAATGAGTCATGATAGCAGAGGAGGAACCGAGAAGCGGTATTTTATTAATTGACTCCAGCAGACTTATTTGTCCTCAGTGAATAGAGCCGGGCAGGGCTGTCGGAATTGTTCCTGCTCCGCTCACACAACGCTGCTCTGCTCGCACAACGCTGCTCCGTGCCTGGCTCCTGGCAAGCGGGAGCAGATCCTGGGGACAGAGAGCGACTGCGGGGATGGAGACGGTTCTCGGCTGAGTGATCCGTTAAATGCATTTTGTTAGCGAGCCGGTGCTGTTTGGAAATGGCCCCTCGAGCCTGGCAGTGAACCTCCTGATGCTTTTCCAGGGGTCCTGTCCTGCACGGTGAGGGAATACTATGGAGAAGGTGGGATCCTTGTGGGGCTGTCGGTGCGTGCCTGGGGTCTCCAGCTGCCTTTCCTGCATGGAGAGGTCTCTTTGCAGCATGGACACCCTGTGTCCCTCGGGAGCATCGGCTGAAGGGCCCCATGGCACCGTGTTCAGCCCGGGGGCTGCTGCCCTGAGCCGGGGTGCGGGGTCTGGCCAGGCGCCGGTGTTTGCACGGGGCTGCTGTTCGGGCTTGCTCGCGGGGCTCAGTGGCACGCTCAGTGCATCTGAATGCAAATGCATCCAGGAATACAAAAAAGCCAGGGAGGGAGAGCGGAGTGCGCCCACGGAGCAGGAATCATGCCCCTGTCCTCCGGAGGCGTCAGCAGTTCCTCTGGGTACTGAGCCAGAGCAGGGCTGTCTCTGGGGACAAAAACGGGGGTTAATTGCCAAAATAAATCTTCTCCCAGAGTTTGTGCCAAGCTTGCCAGGTTTTGCAAGTGGCTTTCGCTCTCGGCAGCCTCTGGAAGCGCCTTGGAGCAGCTCGGAGCTGCGAGCCGGTGCGGTGGCTGAGGCCGGGCGAGCACTGGGGACGTGGCTGTCACACGCGGCCTCGCTATGGGCAGGGGAGAGCCCGGGTGACCTTCAGAGGTGACTGCTCCACTTAATGGCTTTGAATCTGATTACACCCTGTTTCGCTAAGAAACGTGCTTGGCACGTTCTTCTGAATTCAATACATTTTAGGGACAGTTATCTTGAACTCTTTGCCTGCCGCTTAGGAAAAAACCTTTGAAAATGATATTATGGATCAAAAGTGTTCCTGAGGTAATTCTGTTTCAACAGTGGAGTTAATCCAGAACTGAATTTGGCCCTGCATTTCCAAATGAGAAGCAGTAGCTGTATAATCTGTTTATGGTTTTAAAGTGAATGTTAATCTTGGATTTGGTGGCTTTTCCCAAGGGTCGATTTGCCGTGCTGCAAAGTATTTTAGCCCCTTGCTCTGAAACTCTCTGAACCCACTCCATGTTTTATTTTAAAGAGCGATTTTACTGTGTTTATAAATACACGTCAAATCTGGAAATGTTAAATCTGGGGAGCCCTCTGCGGTAGAGGTAATGCCATTTTTCTTATCTTGCATTTTGTTTGAACAGCACCTGGCACGGCGCATCCGAGCTCTGGTGTGCCAGCCCCGCTGCGGGGACGGGCCGGTCCCACGGGGATGCAGTTGGATGGGTCGAATTGAATCGAATGTCCCCCGCCGAGACAGGGATCTCATGGTACCTCTGGGTGCTCTGTCCCCCGGGTGACTTTCTCCCCTCTTCCTCTGCAGGTGGGAGGATGCTGCAGCGTGCCGGGGGCTGACCCGCGGTGCCACCGGCCACGGGGAGCAGGATCCCCGC